TTATTGTTGTAAAGATAACGGGATGAATCCTTTCCCATGAGAAAGAAAATCCTGACAGAATAGGTGGATGGGGAGAGTTCAAGGGAAGGCAGTCTCTTACCTTACTGAGGCTCGGGGCTGGGAGGGACCAAGCCAGAAATGGCTTGGATCGCGGTGGTTCCTTGCCTAACGATCGGTGGGATTTGGTTAACGATGGCAACGGGGACTGCCAGGATTTCCGTTGCTAAGCAATGCGGTCACGTGACATCACACCGTGCAACCACATCGCTTAGTGACAGAAATTCCGGCTCCAGTTACCGTTATTAACTGAGGACTACCTGTATGCAGAAAAAAGAATTAAGTGGACAGCCTACCCCTGTCCTAATATATTGTATATGTTCTTAGGGCACACTTCAATGTGCTTAGCAATTCACTGTCAAAATATATAATTGCAGGGTAATTTAGTATCTAGTGCTGCAGAGCCATGAAACAAAGAAACACAAAGCCCTCAGAAAAGAAGAACTAATTCCATGTCTCTGGATTCTCTGATATTATAGAGAAGGGTCTGGATTGGCTTCCCTTTTCTTTATTTTCCTTTACAGATGACTAAGATATTATCATAGGATAATTTCTCTACTGTATATATGTCACAGTCTGTGCTGAATATAAATAGTTGTTTGTTTTTAAATTTAACTTTTTTAGTTACAAAGTGATTTGAAAGCTTAAACATACTCTTCTCCCATGCTTCTTTGCTGCTGCAGACCATTTGGACAAGCACTACGGCCACTTCTTGACTCCATCCAGATCCAGCCACCTGGAGGAAATACTTTTAGCAGACATAATGGACAGAGCTAGCAGACACAGTGAAAAATGTCTCAACTCACAAGGGCATTTCCTTTCAAACTCCACTGTATTAGATTCCTGTCTTATAAATTCATGCCAGGGTTCAAAAGTGGCATTTCAGACTTTATAGGGAGAATATTTATTGAATTGCATGTCATGTGGTGCTACCAGAAAAATATGGTCATAAAATCAAATAATGTATTTACTTATTAAAGCTGTTTTTGTCTTGGTTCACTTTTTTACTATTCCCTGCTAAGAAAGTGGAGATTAGGAAATCTGCCTGCACAGTTTAAAATAACAGGGATACCTTAGTTATCCCTTCCCAAACTTACTTATTTTCATTACCCTTGTTACAGTATTTGTGTAACCCCAAAGGTGTGAATTTAACAATATTAAATAATAAGCTTGAACAGACTTTTAACTTTTTGTAGGAGAAAAAAACTAAAAATATTCACTGTGAAATTATTTTGAGAAATACTTCTTAAATAGAAAATATAAACCAGTTTTGCAATAGAAGTATACAGTAATAGATTTCTAAGTTTGGATGGGTGATGCCAAAAAGAACTATTGCCTGTCTTTAAAATCTGATCCTTCCAAAACCAGAAAGAATAGCCCTTAACCGTTACACTATGTTAATCCTTTGTATGGCGGGCGGGGGGGGGGGGGGGG